AGCAGGAATAAAATCTAAAGTAACACAATAAACATTGCAATGTAGTATCTTTCGCTAAGAATACGTATTTCTTTAAATATTAATTCTGTTTTAATGGTAGTAGTAAATTTGTTAAATGAGTAGTAAATAAAAATATTGTAAAATATAAATAAATAAAAATAGAAAATATTTCACATCTATTGCCATAGAACATATCAGAAATTAAAGATCAGGATTTTGAAATTTTTGAAATAGTTGTTTGAATAAAGTGACAAGATCTAAAGATACGTTCAGCATCCAGTAGCTTTCATAGACAGCAAATTACTCTAGACAGCATTTTTGAAAATACTACTACTAGGTAAGATATCTTAAAAGAATTTGAACATTTTAGAAAATGTCCAGACCAGGATAAGAACAGTGAGCTCTTAAATTTGGGGTTTTTTTTCTATGCTTAAAATATACACTAACCTTTGGCTTGATTTACAAATCTGATTTTGTTTGGCAACTGTACAGCACTGCCGCCATGGAATTTGTGTGAGCAGAGAAATGGAGGCTCGTCCTGTAGATGGAGAATGGGGACCATGGGGACCTTATAGCTCCTGTTCAAGAACCTGTGGAGGTGGAATCAAGAGCACCACCAGGCTGTGTAATAGACCAGAGTATGTTTTTTATTGTGATTTACATTAGTGCATGATGAAGGTGTTGTGACATAATGGATTAGTTCAGAACAAAATGAAGGTATTGTGGGTTGTGTAAATTAGTTCAATAAAGAAAATGCTTGTTTCAGCCATGTTTGAACAAAGACAGATAAGTCTGCAGACTCTAATATGCAAAAAACTTTTAGATTACTCTTGTCTCTCAACTATATAATTCATATTTATAGCTATTTCTAAAGACTTATTTTGGCAGGGTATTTTTTTTTCTAGTTTTACTCTAAATGCTGGGGATTTCTTTAAACATTGAGATGCTTTCTTTGAAGTAAAAGCTGCAAAAAGAAATAGATATTCCCTGGTAATCTTTTTAGTGAAACACTCGATTGGCTTTGATTTAAGGCTTTTTCATGCCACCACCACCAGTAACACCCACAAGGAATAACAGAGTCATTTACAACTTACCTTTATAATGAGAAACTTCCACTGACTGAATGTGGGTTTTATTCTCTGTGATGAAAGTCAATGAGAACTTGACCCTTAACTTCTTCAGAAGAGGAACCATAGCTGCAGCCTGGGTAGCTTCAGGGTTTCTCTAGGAAGTCACATCTTCTTGATATTATCAGAGGGATAAATGAATCTCGGTCAAAAGACTCCATGTTACTTTATTTTCTCGAATGAGTAAGAGGCGGTAGACTAGATTCCCATTAGATATGTCTCTGTCAGTTTGTAGTATCTGATAGTATCAAGATGTCATTGATTTATTATCTTTTTCCTCACCGAGAACCTACTAATACTGAATTACTGTGTAGCAGGGTTTATAACAGTTAGGAATGTATTTTAGACTTTACAGTAAATGGGATGTTTTTCACAATTTTCCCTTTTTAGTTCTTTTGATCCCCAAACTGAAACCGATATTAGGACTAAAGAAAAGCGTGTGTCAGCTCCTACCTCTGTCTTCTTTCTTTGTCACTTTGTAAAATTATAATTTCAAATCACAGAGGGAGGTGCTGCTTCTGTAAAAATATGGCAAAATCGTTAAAGGTAATAAAGTTAAGAATGCTTTTTCTCAGGCAAAGTAATTATGACTGTAAGAGAAATAAAAATGTAATAGACATTAATAAACATCAGTAGCTGGATTATCACCTACTTCAACAGTAGTATTTTACATGGACTTTTTGTTTCTTCACTTGGATTTAAATGTATGCACAGTGCAGTAGAAGATAAGAGTGTGTGTGTGTGAAAGTCAGAAACAGAGCAGAACGCTGTGTGAGATTTTCCCCTTTGGATCAGTGGCTCAAGCCACTTTTCATGGAAAACAGCAATTTTAGAAACTGAGCATGTTTTACATTTACAAATTTTTGTTAGACCAAGAAATGGAGGAAAGTACTGTGTTGGCCGCAGGATGAAATTTCGATCATGTAATACAGATGCATGTCCAAAAGGCAAAAAAGATTTCCGGGAGCAACAGTGCTCTGAATTTGATGGCAAACACTTTAATATCAACGGTCTTACGTCTGCTGTTCGCTGGCTTCCAAAGTACAGTGGTAGTAAGTAATCATAATTATTTTCAATTAATGAAATAAAAATGTTACTTCAATTAAAGTTTTTAAACAGACAAGAAACCTGTTGGATTTTCTTTCCAGTTGCTATGAAAGATCGCTGTAAACTTTTTTGCCGAGTTTCTGGAACAACTTCCTACTATCAGCTGAAGGACAGAGTTGCTGATGGTACTCCCTGCGGAGCAGAAACCAATGACCTTTGTGTTCAAGGCTTATGCAGGGTATTTAAATCTAAACTTATTAATTACTAAAATAAATTTTAACAGATGGTAGATATTAAATATTAATCCAAATGACCACTACTGAAAATATGTAAAGCAAGGTGTTTTGAATTTACTTAAATTAATTTTAATCCCTATGAAATTTAAGATCTGGAAATGGAGGCAATTCAGTGAAGAACATACAGTTGAGTCTGAAGACCCACAGTCTTTCCTCATTAAGCCTCATATGTGAGAGAGTTAATATTGTCCAAGTTAGGAGAGAGAAACTGATCCAAAATTGACATAAAGGGAGGAAAGAAGCATGCTGTGTGTTCATTGCTGTCATATTTCAGCTATCAAAGAAGTAAAACAGTAGAAAATCCAAGGGTAAATAGATTATGTATTTATTATTTTATTGAAAAATCAGGAGGAACTGACCCTTGAAAGGGATCATTTCAGCATTCTTTGCTTAATAGCAATTATGGAAGTGCCACAAGATTTTGTTGGGAGAAGCAAGGTGCTGTTTTGTAACAACTCAAGACTTTTTTTTTCAATCCCACATTGTTTTGCTGGTTGCAGTGAAACTGAGCAAATCCAGGATGAGGAGAAAATGTAGCCTGTTTTGTAGTGTTGAATTAAGAGGCAAGAGGAAGTGCCAGAGAATTGTCCTGTCTATCATAATTTTAAAACAAAAGGAAGTTTAAGTGAAGATACATAAACAAAATTAGTACTTATGCTAGTTTAACCAGCATAGTCTACATGTAGTCCTTTGCCTCTTTTGCAGTAATGACAGACTTTAAAAGAATTGATGACCACATGCACATACATACTGCTTTTAGGATTCCACGACTTTTAAATGTAAATATAACTTAAAATTTATACACTATGTTAATTTTGTATATGAAATCTTTATGTGCTGTTATGTATTCTTATACAGCTCTTGACACATTAAGGGTATTTGGATTGTACATTCTTAGTACAACAACACTATAATGTTTTGCACTTATATCATAGCACCCAAAAACATAAAAGGTTTTTCATGAATTGCCAAGGAAGAGCAGATATATACAGTAAATAAGAATATTTGGGGAGAGTGGGAAGCTTACATTGTTTGTTGTCACTGTTTTTCACTGAGCTGAGTGATACAAGGCCATTGTAATTTTTTATTATTATTATTATTATTATTATTATTTTGTAGCAAGCAGGCTGTGATCACGTTTTGAATTCCAAGGCAAGGAGAGACAAATGTGGAATCTGTGGTGGTGATAATTCTTCATGTAAGACTCTTGCAGGTACTTTCAACAGTGCTCATTATGGTATGTTTGTTTGTTTTTGGTTTCTTTTTAAATCTTCATGCAGATTTCAATGTGGTGTAGAAATTATCTTTTACATTTGAGGAAGTGGGATTTCAGTGTATGTTCTTTAAGACCTTTGTCAACAAAAACTATCTCTGATTTTCAGTCACATATGCCCTCTCAAGGACACAGAAGCAAACACTATGACACAGTAACCCATTCAAGGGGAAAAAAAACAAAATCAGTCAGCTCTAAGTTCAAATCAAAATACATGAATAAAAGATATGATGAAGGTAAAAGTACTTAACAGGAAGAATGCTTCCTTCTTTGTACGTTGCATTTTCTCATCTGAAATGATGCAGCTGAAGGACTTACTTCAACATCCTTTTGGTTGTGTAAGGAGATAGCAAGAAATCTGTGGCGTGAGCAGCTGAAGAGCTTTCTTTTTTCTTATAGTGACAAAGATAGCCTGTGAAACGTGAACCTTCTCTTTCCAGAAAACATGGTCTGCGCTGTTTATGTTCTTTCCTCTTCATTGTCGTTTAGTGAATGAGAAATTTCTGAAAAACCCTGGTAATTTCTATTTCTTTGATTTAGTTTCTCTAATAGAGCTACTAATAGTTCTTCTATATGAAGTCCTTTCTGGGAGGTATGGAGAGACTATTGTATGCGTGTAGAAGACAGTCAAGTAGTTAGAGCGTAGAACATAAGGACAGAAGTCTCCAGGTTAACATCAGATTCCTAAAGGCTCCTTCATGCTGCTTCGCTGGTTGAGAGAGACCACAGGTGAAGTGCAAATGTTACCTGGAGAGCTGCCAAATAGGATCTTCATGCAACAAAGGAACCGCAGATTCGGAGAGGAAAGCATGCTCAGTATCCTGTTGGATTGCTTTTTAGTTTTTTCCTGGGAAAGGACTTGTGCAAAGAAAAAAGTACCAAAAAACTTAAAGGTGGGATACAGCTACCCTTCCCATGCAAATACACGTAACTTTTCTTGTGTCTGACCTGAGAAGTTGGAAGAAGACACAATCAGCTGGTAGAGACAATTTCTGTAATTGTGGTCAAAACACTGAAGGAGAAACATGTATTATTTTGATAATTCTGACTAAAGGACTGTCAGTGCTTTTGTTTTCCATTACTGTGAAAGGTTTTTTGCTTATGGGAAGCACATGAATTGTGTCACAAATTGTTATTTGATACAAGTGATCATGACACTGAAACTGCCATTTATGCAAATATGGTTGAGTCTGTCACTGCTGTTTTGCATTGTCACAGACTTACTTGCTTCTAAATGAAAATTTTGGGTTTATACTTAGTTGAATGTTCTAAATTATGTTTGAATTTTTGGAATTATGGCATATAAAAGATGTTATTAACTACACTACTGGACAAGATGCTAAACATTTGGGATTATCACTCGGGTATGCTGAAGTAGGAGTGCAGCAATACAAACAAAAGGTGGTTGCTAGCTGATCACTAAAACATCAGTGTCCATGGATGGCCTATGGCATCCATAGGGTAATGACTGAAAATATTGTCTAAGGAAATAGTCTTTCACAAAAAAGTTCTGAGTTAGGATCACAAGATAAGTATGCCAAATTTGGTACACCTGATTTTTTTCTTTTAACTTCATCTGGTCCCCTTCTGTACTGACACAAGTCATTTTACTAAGGCAGAATTAGGAATTAGACAGTAGCAGCCTGTGGTACATGCTTGTATTCATACAGTAATAATGTTGTCATTAGGTGTTTAAACAGTAGTGAAACAATCATCAGAAACACATTACATTGAAATACTAATTCACTTAGCTCCCAATTTAGGAAACAGTAATCTAATTATGTACACATAATTGTTATGTTGACTATTATTATTGCATCAAATTAAAGTATCTGTGGATTTCCTGGAAAATGGTCATTCTCAATGCCTTCATATGTGATCTGTTCTCCTGTGTGTCCTTGACAGCATGCTATGCAGTTTTGTTTATAGTTTCCTCTCATATTTTGTTTTCTGGCTTTCTATTACCACAAGACCTTGAGCATGTGAGATGAGGGGCTTTTTTGAGAGTCTTTGGGTTTTCTTCCCAATATTTTGAAAGATTGCATTGATCCATTATTTTTGGAAGCTGTATTTATCCAGAGCATGCAATTTGCCAATTTGCAATTGCAGTGCTGCCCCCAGCTGGTAAATGTGATGTACCTGTGATTATATTAAATGTTCATTTAAATGCATGGCATAGTTTTAATAGATTAAAAGCACTGGGAAGTTAATGAATTATGAAATTGAAAAGGATATTGCCATTTAAATTTTTACCCACAGAGGTGAGTCAATTAACTAAAGTTAAATCAGAGCAAGACTGTTAAAACACAGCAAAATAAGTGCAAAAGTTAGCAAAGATTATATTAATGTTTCATTAATGCTTTGTGTTTATTATTTGTTTCCAATGTTTGCCATACTCAGTTTTATTTAGACATAAGAATCCTTTTGAATTTGTGATTAGCATCTGTATGAAACATCTTTTTAAAAAAAAACTAAACCCTATGCTTATGTGCAGAGTGAAAGTGCTAAAGTGAAAGTAGATCTTGATGCACCTAATACGCAGGAAGCAGAAACTCATTTGTGAAGCGTTTGTATATTGCAGGGAGCACACTGGAACGACATTTTAAGCAGCAGAATGTGGATCAAGCATGGCTAGTTTATCTGCTTTATCTACCTATACATGCATACCTATACATGCATACCTATACCATACACAGCCTGTAACACTGCAGTATTGGAGTATTTATGGCTTGTTCTTTGAGTGCTGTCATGTAATACTTTTGTGAGACAGAAAAGCTAAGCCAATTCTATAAACAGAGAGTGGAGATATTTCATGTTGAGTTATTCAGACTTGAATAAAAGTTTTGTTGTTAAATTGTGGGGAGCCACGATGTTTCCTGAGACCCACCACTTGAATGCTTTATAAAGTAATCCTGCTCCCTAGAGATTTTTCTCAGTAGATTGAACTCATGTTAATGGTAAAGAATTGAATTCACATTTCTGAACACAGAGATGAATTTCAATGAGATGCAAAAATAAAGCTTCAGTTCAACTGATTAAAAAAGCTAAAAAACAACAACAAAGAAATTTAATATGCATGAAGGTATTCACGTTTCCTTCCTAAAACATGAGAGCATTTCAGCATTCACTAGTGCACTGTAGGATTTTGTGAATAAAACTAGTTAAATGTATGTTCATATTTACTAATATTCGACTATTTCTGTATATAATTAATTTGTGAATTATTACATTGCAGGTTACAATGTTGTAGTAAATATTCCCAAAGGAGCAACAAACATTGATATTCAGCAGCACAGCTACTCAGGGAAACCAGAAGATGACAACTACCTTGGTAAAAGCCTCCTGTGTCTAACACTGATGGATAGTTTTTCTGCTTTTTCTCTGCTGTAGACATCTTTTACAAGAAGTCTGATGACGTCTTCAGAGGAAATATCTAATTACATTGTATCAACATTTGTCTGAGTCTCTCTGTAGATACTAGTTTTCAGAAAAATGAGTGAAATGTTAGGTTTCTTATTCTTAAATGTGTGTGTTTGTTTGTCAGAGAATAGCAGTTATAGCACACTGCATCATTTTGTCAGGTTTTTACTTTGTTGTGGCAATGTTAATTAAAACTCCACAAGTGAACTCGGGAATAACGCAGGTATTTGTGGTTTTAAATCTTGGAAGCATACACTTTGTTTATAAATGAAACAGTCTGACCTTCAGCAAACTTAGCAGTTGTCTCTTTTTCTATCATGTCTGAGTATAAAGTTCTTATGTTGATAGATTTGCAAGCGTGCGAGGGGAAAAGAATTCATAAGCCCATTGTACCAGAAATGCTGGTGGTGGTATTTCACAGTATTTACATTATATTTGAAGAGCCTGAGAGAATGTTGGTACATATTTTCCTTCTGTGTCTTCTTCCATTACCATCCTACTCAGCAAACTTCAGAGTTTTCAAAATATTTTCCTGGCCACCTGTGGCCCTGTTACTGCACATGTGTCTGGGAGGACACAGAAACACCCCTGACCCCCTGACACTAGCTACCATTTCAAGTGTAGTAATGCCTGATTAGCATGCCTTTACTAAAAATTTTACTTTATTTTTACATTTATTTTTTAACTTGTTATTTGTATTTACTGTTGTAAATTGGTCGTTATAATAAGTTATTATAAATGCATAATAGTTTATTTTTACTTTAAAATTTACTTTAAAAAGCCATTTCAGTAAAAGTCGCTCTAGCAAATACAAGAATGTGGGCTGTAGAATAGGCCAGAAATACAGATAATTATTGTTTCCGTCTACAGTAGCAGAATGTAACTAAATTTAAAAGTGATGTCTGCAGCCAACCCTTCAACAGAACAAATATTATTAAAGTTGTGTTGTTAAATGCAGAGAAAATCCATGACAACTGCTCAGGCAAAGTTACTGATAGTTAGGATTGAATTCATGCATTAGAAACTATTTGATAGAACTCTGAAGTATTACGCATGGAGTAAAATAAAGCTAAGTGTTGATGAGAAGATATATTATTAAGAGTTTTTATTGATAGAATCTTTAAATACATGCTTTATTTCCAATATTTTATTTTGCTTATAGCTTTATCTGATATACATGGAAATTTTATCTTGAATGGAAATTTTGTTGTAAGCATGTCAAAAAGAGAAATCAATATACAAGGAGCCATTTTTGAGTACAGTGGTTCAAACAATACGATAGAACGAATTAACAGCACTGATAAAATCGAAGAAGAGCTAACCTTACAGGTGCATGTTTACTTTTTTCATAAGTTTGAAAATTTGCTACATGATCATTATGCTCATAATTTTATGTTCAAATTCACTGAAAAACAGCTATCATTTTATCTCAATTAAGGTTTTTGGGAATTTATACAACCCTGATGTGCGTTATTCATTCAATATCCCAATAGAAGACAGAAGCGATCAGTTTACGTGGGATCCTTACGGACCCTGGCAAGACTGCAGCAGGATGTGCCAAGGTACAGTGAGTCCTTTTGTCACCAGAACCAAAGACCTGATGACATTTGGGAAGAGACTGCTCTTAAGTACTCAGAATTTTCAACCCTACTTGTAGGGAAGAAACTCAGCACTCTCAGTAAACTTTAGCTACACAGAACCTTTATGGACAGAATGGCATTATCCAATGCAATTGTATATTCAAAACTACACCTGTATTCCTTTCTTTTTTAGCCATAGGAGTGCTTTATAAAAAAAAAAGTTGGATCAAGTCTAATGCATCCTTATAAAATGATACTGTATATCTACTGCTATGTATTAGACTTCTGTTATCCTATTTCCAGATGGTCACTGATTTGTCTAGTATCTTTCATATGTATGTTTATTTGTCTTTTTTCATTATCTGCTACATGAGGTGAAGCTATTTAAAGTTATATTTTATTATTTTTTTAACTGTTATTCTACAGGCTATTTCAGTATAAAAATAACACCACAATGTGTATGAGGTGTATATGTGAAGTGTACGTACACAGATTTTTTGATGGATATCCCTATTAGCAGGTGCTAGAAATGTCTGTAGATATGTGGTGGTGAGTTTCTTCTGGTTTTGAGTCAGGCTGTAGATATGCTCATGTGCTAGAGAAGCAGAGCCCTTTATTTGCTATTTTTTTTGTTCCTTTTCAAGGTATTCGAAGAAGAAGAATGATGTGCATACGTAAAAGTGATCATGTGGTAGTGTCTGATCAAAGATGTGAACTTATACCCACTGTGCCTGATGTCTTTGAGGAGTGTAATACAGAGTGTGAATTAAGGTAAAATGAGGTTCCTAACTGATGGAGCTACTGTGGTCTTACGTATTTTTGTTGATAGAGATTGAAACAAAGTAATTCAGATTGCTTTACCCTCTGTCCCTCCACCCCTGTATACCTCCCTTGTCCCTCCTGTCTCTCCCTCCTTTCCTCAAGTCTATTGGTATAAAACCAATATATAAATATATTGGCTTAAACGTTATGTTTATACCTCTGACTCTAAACAGAACTAGTGTACTTTTCTAATTTTTATTGATAAAGTACAAAGTCTTTTGTCAGGATTGTGAATCCATTCTGCATATCCTGGCACAAAAAACTTCTATTTATTGATGGACAGAATATATTTTTCACCAGAATTGTACCCACAACTGGAACTAATTTGAAACAGACTTGTCTACTTGCACTCCAAGAAAGCCCACACTGAAATGTTCAGAGGATGAACAGTTAGAATTGTAGCTTACATTTTTCAAAGTCACCTAGGAGATTAAGACAAAAGATCTTTTAAAATGAAAAAGATGTTTTTAAGCCTATGAGTCAAATTCTTTTATATTGCTTTGAAAATTCCAGTGATGAGAGAGATCTTACAGTTTTATCTGTTCCTTAAAATGCATATCTGTATTCACATGACAATTCCTGTTACATTCTCTGAGTGCTTTATTCACCGTTGTCTTATTTTTTAAAACATAGTTAGCTTTGTATAACAGTTTATCCTTGTAGGTGGCACAATGTTGGCAAAAGTGACTGCACATCAAAGTGTGGCCCAGGGTATCGGTCTGTAGAGATCCACTGCATGAAGTACGCAAAAGGACTCAGTGCTCCAGTGGATGATAAGTACTGCGCTGATCAGCAGAAACCACCAACCAGAGAGCCCTGCCATGGTGACTGTATGCTAACAAGTTGGCACTACACAGCATGGTCAGAGGTACAAATTCATATAATTGTACCATTTTTGTTCTGGTTAGCATTCATATCAAATTTTTATTTCTATATCATTTTTTTGGTTTAAGTAACTGAAAGAAATAATGTTCAACAAATGCAGAGTTCTAGGAGGAGCTAATACCAATCTTTATATTTCAGTAACTTCATCATACTTTTATAAGAAGCTGTAGTTAAATTGCTTGCAGCTTGGGTTTTGGAAGTCAGCAGAGAAGATTTGGTGGTTAAAGGTGTATAATTTATTTATAGTCATAATAATTTAGTTCTGAGAGTATTTTGGAAAAAAGGAGTAAGTACAATTTCAGCTTTAAACTTCATTAAAGGATTATATCTTGGACCTACTAAAGTGCCAAATTTACCTTACATGAACATATTAGCAGTCTGTGGTTTAAATGCAGTATACATTTGTCTAACACAGTCATTAATGTTTTCCACCTTTAAGACTGATAATGTCTTTTGACCTGTTTTTTTCATGTTGTGTTTCATAATATTATCTATACATTGCAGTGTTCCAGGAGCTGTGAAAGAGGTGTCAGAACCAGAGAAGCTTTTTGTATGAACAATTTAGGCCGTCATCTTCCTGACAGAGAATGCCAGGAACTTCCAAGAGTTGTAACACAGAGTTGCAATGACTTCTTATGTCCCAGCTGGTCCGTTAGTGAGTGGAGTGAGGTAATGTAAAACGTCTTTGGTCCTGGTCATCGATATTAAAATAAGCTGCTTTAAGTGTTTGGGTGTTTTGTTCTGACTATTTTAAGGCATACGATAATTAAAATTCTGAATTTCTAGAATCTGGCTGATATACATCTCAGATGCCATGAGAACTTCTGAAAAACACACCTAGAATTTATTTTTCTCGGAAATTTTGTTACATTAAAATGAGGTAGCAAAGCTACTTAAAGTAAATCTATCTATGGTCATATGCATATATTCTTTTTTTATGAAGCAATGTGAACCACCCAGCCAACTGAAGAACAGAATTATATCTGTTTTATTATAGATTAAATGGCTATAAAAGAATCATGGATAGTTTAAACACTTTTCCTGTTAAAGCTGTGATTTGTGCAGTAGTTTAAACTAAAGTATTCTTTATTCTAATGGAAAGAAATTATCTGTACATTGCTCTCATGTATTTGTAGCTTTAGAAACTTAATAGTGATTCCTTTGTATTAGCATTTGGGTTGATGTTTACAAGAAACAGAGAGTTCATAAAAGAACTAGTTTTGTTGGATTACTTACATTCATGGAATATTTTTGTTATATAAGTGATCTTTAAAATCCAACAGATTACTAATAAAAAAGATTAATGCAGATTCATGTCTTTATAAACTGATTACTCTAATAATTTTACAGTGTCCTGTGACATGTGGCAAAGGAATGAAGCATCGTCAAGTACAGTGCCAACTTAATGATGAACAACTGAGAGATGATTTCTGTAACCCAAATGATAGACCAAAATCAGTAACACCGTGTGAACTTCATGAATGTGCATCTTGGCAAGTAGGGCCTTGGGGATCAGTGAGTACACAAGGATTCCTGACTTCTTGTTTCCTAATTCACAAAATTTAATGATTACAAAGCAAAACCTTTTAAACATTTTAATTGGATCTTAAATCTTGCTGGAACAGCTTGTACAAGCAATTTACCAATCCATGTCACTAAAGCAGAGCTTTCCATTGCAATTTTTGCACTGTACCATCTGGTAACAGCTATTCATGACCTGTGTATTTACCACTATTTGTGCTTGAACCACAACATTGATAGGAAGTTATCTGTGTCATAATGTTTTCAGCTATCTAACATGGCTGTGCTCTTGTCAGACTCTGTACTGAAGAGAAATACATTTTACATCTGCAGCTAGTGATTCATTTGGAAGCTACCCCTTTCTCCTACCCCACTGCTTCTTCTAGCCCAGTTTTTATTGCTGACCATGACATTATATAGCATGGATTGTTGCTTTGACCAGTTTTGGTGAGTTATTGTGGCTGTGTTCCCTCCCAGTCTCCTGCCCACCTCCAGCCTACTCACTGCATGGGGTAGAAGGGGACAGAAAGAGAAAGCCTTTTTCCTGCACAAGCACTGTTCAGCAGTAGCCAGAATATTGGTGTGTTATGGTTATGGTCTGCCATGGAGAAAGTTAACACCATCCCAGTAGTCATTCCTATTTATTCTAGAAACAGTTTTAAAATAGAAAATGTAATTAAAATTTAAATTTGCTTATAAATAGTACTCTTTCAAGTGTGTGAAATTATTTACTTTAACAGTGTTCTGTAACATGTGGACGCGGATACCAGATGCGTGCAGTCAAATGTGTTACTGGGACATACAGAGTTATTTTGAATGATGACAGGGAGTGCAATGCTGCTACTCGTCCTAGAGATAACCAAGTAAGTTAAAAAATACTTTTCAGTGGATCATACTTTTTAGATAAAGCACCTAAATATAAATGTGAATAAATAGAATTGAGTTCTAGAATGAGAAAAAATAATGAAACTGTCCGCTTTTTTCCTGACCTTCAAATTTGGCCAAAGGAATTAAGTAAAAGAAGAGTAATTTGGAGATTAGAGGTATGAAAATTTGGTATATGATTGAAGGAGTCCTAAGGCCTTTGATTATTTGGAGAGGGTGGGACAGAGGGAAACTCCAACATGTAGAATATTAAAAGGAGACTGCTTGCCATGATGCTTAATAGTAGCACCTAACTGGCTTGGTATTCTCTAAAATTCTGCTTGTATATAGTTCTTAAAAGAATGAGATGGCTGAATAAATCTTCAGCTGTTGAAATAATACTATTTTAAACCTTATAGACATGAATTATGATTCAATATGGTATTAATACAGTTCTTTACCTGTTCTTCCTGTCTCAGTTTACTTATCTCATTACTTTCTTTAATTTAAATCTTTCATTTTTCAGAAGAAATTTTTTTAATACAGTCAATGTGTTTACCTTTAACTAAAAGGAACTGGTGCCTTAGGTACTATGTATTAATATGTTGATCTGACCGCCAGATTGATAAATCTCATTTATATCCAGCTAAGCTGGTAAACACATTCCTCCTTGAGGGCATACTCTGCTTCTTATCTCAAGAAGAAGAGGAAGAAAGGAATTCTATGGTCCAGAGTAAACTAGTCACAAGTTACCACCCCTCTGATGGCTTCTTGAATAAGATTTCAACACATAAAAGCCAAGTAATTGGTATAAATATATTTCCATTTAGGTGTGAAAACACTACTTATGCATTGCATTTCGAATTGTGGTACCTGTTCAGTTGTTGACCAAAACTGCCAATTTTGTGTTCTCAGTAGCTGAAGTTGTAAAGGACAGGACAGCACAGCCTCTGTCTTCACTCAGTTCTTCTGTACTGCATGTGGCTGTGACACAGGACACGGCAATGCCTATGCCCCTTGTCTCCACCAAGTTGTCCAACACAGTCCTTACTCAAAGTGCAAATATGATTATTACTAATACAGTTGTAACATCAAATAAATTTTCTTTGCCTCTTGATTTGAAACAAAACAAAACAATTCAATGAAAAGCCTTCAAATAATGCTACAGAAAAGTTAGAAGATGGTGTTTACTTGTTAGTTATTGCTGGCTTATTGTAATGGTAGGATCCATTTCTGTGGGAGCCATTTGCTTTACAGTTGGTTCTTCTAAAATGTGTATCTTGAAAGCTTTTTTATTCTCACCCCCACAGGAATGTGAATTACCCCCTTGTCCAGAAAACACAAAATTATGGACTACGTCACTTCCTGTAGCTCATGTGGGGAAGATGACCCAATGGAGATACGGATCGTGGACCCCAGTATGTAATGTAATAGTAGTCACATCTTCCAAAGCAGTACTCCATATCCTCACCCATTTTTCCATCAAGCACTAATTAATATTTTTTTTCAAACTGAAATCTGCTTGGGATAAATTTTAAACAAATTCTAATATTTTTAAAGAACCTTTTTCTTAAGGAGGAGATAAAACTCCCAGAAAATTCTGTGTGCTTCAAATCTAGCCAGGGAAAATGAGAGGAAAAAAACCAGGATTCTAAGAGCTGGGTTTCTAAGCAAAATAGCTTTCATGTGAAGGTGAGTGTGCAAGGAAGTGAGTTTTTTTTTTAAATAATTGCTCAGTTTCTGAGTAAGGAAAATATAATTCTTAAATATTATTTAAATCTTTTGTGTGAATACCAATATTGAACAGTTTGGGTTTTTAAGGGTCTAATTTTGCATAATTCACAAAACGAGCATTATAAAAATGTTATTTACACAATCTTTGTTTAATGGAAGAGTTTTTGATTTTGATGGTGATGAAAATTAGTTTTACTTGACAGTGATGTGAAAATTTGAAATTATCTATAAAAATGTGGATGTGTCTGTTAAATCCCTTGAGGTTATCAGTTTTTACCTCTTGAGAATATAAGGTTTTATTATATCAGTTGATGTAAGTATTGCATCACATAATAACGGAAATATTCTAGAAGTTACTCTCTAATGTGTCTATTTTTAATAAAAAATATTGCCTTTGCAACTCTGTGATGATTCCACATTGTAGTTGAAATGCTACCTATATGGTGAATTGCTTCACAAGAATTAAGGCTGTGCAATTCAGTTCTAAGCCAATGGCAATTCTTAAGGATTAAACCATCCAGCAATATTTCAGTTTCCTTCCTGAGTGCATGGCTCTATCAGTGTGAGATGGAAATCTTGTTCTCAGTGTGTAATTCTAAAGTCAAACTGACACTAAACTATGTAAGTATTTTAGATGCTTGCATGATCTTGTTTTGGTCTCCTAAAGTGCTATGAGCTTGGATTGTTCTCTGACAGTGCTCTGCATCCTGTGGAAAGGGTGATCGTGCTCGCTATGTGAGTTGTCGAGATGCTCATGGAGGAATAGCAGATGAATCTTTCTGTGCTCACTTACCACGACCAGCTGAAATTTCAAGCTGCTTTAGCCCATGTGGAGAGTGGCAAGTTGGAAATTGGTCCCCTGTAAGTATTAATTGTAATTTATTTTTTAATGTGATTATTTAGATTATTGGACAAAGTCTTTGGTTACAAATTAGGCCTTCGTATTCTGTGCAAGTGTGATTGAAATTACATGCCTTGAATGTTTCTTATTGTCAAAAGTATATATATATATTTGTCTTTGGTTATTGATTATCAATGTTCTGTCTCAAATGTTGTGTTAATTTTTGGTCAGTGCACAGTTACATGTGATAGTGGAATAATAACAAGACAAGTTATCTGTGTCAACTATCATCAACAAATCGATGAGAATTACTGTGATCCTGAAGGCCAGCCTCCCAAAGAACAGGACTGTAATATGCCACCATGTCCACCAGTTTATCATCATATTCCAAAAACACGTGACCATCCAAGCCATTTTCCAGAAATAGGTTACCTTCCAATACACAATCCACAAGACAATATAAACCAGTGGAACCGTCCCTCTGTGGGAGGATATCAATGGAGAACTGGACCCTGGGGAGCAGTAAGAATTGGTTTTTTTTAATTTATTAATTTGTTCTCTCACGTATATTAACATCTACAAGTTATTGCAGTACAGATTTGGTCAAAAGAGAAGGACATTTGTTATTGTTATTAAGAATACATTGCATTCAATGTGTAATTCTTTTTCAATTTCAGCTCTAAAATACTTTGACATAGTAGTAATTTTTGTTTGCAAATTTCAGTTTTGAAAGTTAACATTAAAAAAGTTACAATTTTAAGTTGCTATAACCAACGTATTTTACATTTTTCTGGTTATGCAATGGTGATATGTATGTTTACATATTTTGGTAGTGCTCTAGTACTTGTGCAGGTGGATTTCACCGTCGAGTTGTAGTATGTCAAGATGAGGAAGGAAGAAGTGCTAGTTATTGTGATGAGGCAACAAAACCTCCAGAGTCAAGACACTGTGATTCTGGACCCTGCCCACGATGGAACTATGGAAACTGGGGAGAAGTAAGACCATTTCACTTTCAAAGGAAAACAGTATTTACCACATAAGCTTAGAAACAATAACATAATTATTTGATTTTGATGACTGGAACTGAATGCTGTTTTTTACTTTTTTAAAAAGAATGAGTTTCAACCTGTTTATCTAAACTTTGTTCTTGTATAGTGTAAATATACACCCATAAGAAGTACGTATTGTGTAAAGCTAAGGGTGTACAACATATAAATGAGTGATGCAGTAGCATCTTGAATCTTGAATTATTTTCTGTTATAAAAAGATGAATTGTGTGCAGAAATAGCTCAGTGTAATAACTAGTCTAAGAAAAAAAATGAGCACAAAAAGCTATAAAGAAACTTTCTTACATCAAATTTCAAAAGTACTGACTAGAATAACTACAAGTAGCAGTATCTACTGGGTTGTAGTTAGAAGTGTGAAAATAGGATTGTGCATCTGCAAGGTGTGCCTGGGTTACAATGTTTTGATGAAACATTACATGTTGTTGGACAAAAAACGGTTTCTCCATGCCATCTGATGTCATATCTTGACCACACATTCTTGCTGAAACGCTACTGAAAGAGTTAAAGCTGGTTAGTTTGACATTCATTCAAATCTTACCTCTTGTGATTCCTGCCCTCTTTTCTTATTCTTGATATATCAATAGCTAGAGTTGCAAAAAGAAGAAAAATTGTTTGAGTCACTTTTTTATTTCCCCTCCCC